CCACTTTTCAGATCACCTCGAATATATAACATTAGTCAACAACGAACAAACAAGAAGGGAAATTCGTTCAGTTAAACGATATGATACTAATGATGGGTGTTGAATGAGAGAGTATGAAAGACGTATTCAATCTAAAATACAATGTTTGCTCTTACTTCTTATTTTGTGCCCACAATTATGCATTTATTCTGGATGCTGGTCATTTAATAACTTCATACTACCCATAACCTTTCGAAAAGTACTTTTCACAGTCGCGTGGTGAGTCAGAGGTCATTGTAAAATCAACACATGTAATTGGTTATAAATATATATACTACAATAAACCAACTCGCTATTCAAGAAAAGATCTGAGCTCAAGTTTAAACAATGTAGTCATTTTGTACAATTATCATATAACGATAAAACTAATTCGGTATTAGGTCAAAGGATAAACTCTATCACCTATCCAAACACGAGTCCTATTTCGAAGATATCTATGTCTGAATTGATCCACTATTCTAATGTTAACAGTCGTCAATTTTAATAGTTCAAATGTATGAAACGATAAACAAAGAACCACAGAACCCAGTGGGTCGGATTTTGTACTGCCATTCCAAATAGACTGCAGTAGCACCGCATTATTTTAGGGTGGAATTTCTGACCAAAGAAATTATGCCTGTTCAAATTTTCAAAATGAAATCTTTTAAAGTCACAGAGGATGTATTAAACAAAACTGATGCCTAACTTTCATTACTACCAAAAGTCTAGAACCATGTAAATAGACTACAGTACATCAAACTAATTCTATTCAGACTATTAATATTAGTTCTTGTATTCCAAAATGTAAATTCCCATTCGGGTCTTCATGAATCCTTTGAAATACAACAAGTAAATGGCCTGCAGTAAAAGTCATGGTTTCGTTAAAAAATGTTTTATTTAACAAGACACAAATCAAAGAGCAAATAACACTGAATGTAAGTGTTTTAGCAGCAGTTAGGAAATCTCACCCATTCATCCAAAACTAAGATGCGTATGACCATCTATTACTTCCCCATTTTCACTGATTTAATTTTGCACGATGAAACCTATTCTCAACTATAATAACAGCTGACTTTGAAATAATTTTTATATGGTAACATAAATGATTAGAGAATGTTTTCTTCGAATATAGTAAACATTTTTATCAGAAACAGGGTTTATAGATATCAGATTTAGATACTACAGTAACTACTCGTAAAACTTACTGTTTCAACTTCATTTCACCGATATTCTATCTTCGGGAATACGTTTTTCTTGTTGTTGTGACAACACATACTTTAGTCAAACTATAGTACATGTGTCCATTTTTTTAAAATCTTTTCAAGACGCTGATTATTTATATGCATATAATAATATATATACTCATAACATTCTTTGATTGAATTTTAGCATGAATACTATCAGTAAAAGTTAAATATATGACAAATGTCGTTATTTGTTTAAATCTGTACATGTGAAAACCAGTTTAGCATGAATTCTACTAAGCATTCAGACTTCCCGTGACTTTACACTTTAATACTTCATGTTGCTAAAACATGTTGTTTGTATGTACTTCCATGTGATCCCGCTAAAAACGCTGTCATCCAAACACAACGATGTGTGTGTACACTTAACAAGCTAGTAAATTCAGCAAGCCAGTCGAAAAAGTAAAAAATCTGCGATGACTAGATACGATTAAAAGTATCAATTTAAAATATCTGAATGGGTAGATAGACAAAGATTTTAAAGTAAACAAAAAAAGTGAATGTATGTGAAGATCATTTGTCTACATTTTTAGTTTGTTCACCAATTCCTACGTTATGCCTCGAAAACGTATTGACATCCATTTCTTGTTTCGTACAATCAACATTTTCATACTAACCTGGTGGCTTTATCTATGATTGCTAGTTTATGTTTCTAAAATTCAACTAGTTTGTTTTTAAATTTAACCTACTGTATTAATAATTCAATATACATTGGCTATAGCAAAAGGTCAGGTCATCGATGATATTATAAAATAAAAGCATGAACTAACTAATTACGGTCAGCTCTTCGATTCCTTTACTAATTTAACTAGTTGACGATAAGATCAAAGTGTAAATTAATTTTGTATTATTTGTTTAAACCTTCCCATTGATTTTTAGGTCCTCAGTTTCTTATTGATATATGTACATCTTGTGCGGATCGCCTGAATATTGCCTTATGTCACAAACATTATAAGCAGAGACGGATGGTGGCTAGCAGTGAAAACAGGACGCGCGTTTCGTCCGATTTAGTATTAGTCAGCTGGATATACCTGCATCCCAGAGTTGATGTTCATTACAGAACACGAACCCAGTGCCTTTCACTTCATACGCTATTATGTTATCCACTTAGTTACTGAGTCCTACTACCCAATAGCTTGTGCGAATGGGATGATTTCTTGCATGAACTTCAAGTATAATTTACTACAATAAAATTATTCAAAATACATTTTATACTCGAGCACATTAGACTAATTACTGATTCGATGGAAATAACTTTTAGAAAAAAATTAATTTTTGTATAAAACAGTGATAGCTTCGTGAATTGTCGTATTAAAATAGAACAGTCACACCATTACCACTTTTGTCCACATAACTTAAAACGTAGTGAATTTATCTAGTTTATTTCTATGAGGAGATTGTTTCTTTAAGAACTGTATTATTTGAAAAGTGGTTTTGGGTTGAACTGAGTTAATCAGTTACAGAAAAACTCTTTAGGCAAGGAGTTTGGATGAAATAAGTACAAACATAAATGTAATCATTTATGTTTACTTTTTATTAAAAAAAGTATGATATAAAATTGTACATTGGTCTAGGCTATCACATTGTAATTACTTGAATGTTATGGTTGTTGGCTCTTAGAAAAATAGCGACTTCTGATAATCGTGTTGAGGTTCACTTTAATAGACGATTTGTAGATATATTATCAGCCAATAAACGACTGATAATGCGGTTGATTAACACACCACTAAAAGCGGTCATCGCGAAAGCGTGTAATGCTGACAAACTGACTGTTACCAAAGAAACTAAACCCGTGATTCTACCCAGTTCTAAACATAGCGCAGATAATTACGTCACGTCTCACTGTTTTAACCGATTCGCTTGTTTGAGTGAACACATGCACACACAGGAGTAATCGGTCAATGCAACCTAGAGTTATGGAAAATATGACTAGATGAACTAAAAATCAGTTGATGTCGAAAGCTTAATAAATCTAGGAGGCAGAAACCACAATAACGAAAAATAATTGAAACGAGCCATATAATTGTCATCGGCACAGCTTATAAGACATTGTATGGAATTTGTCAAAGATAAATTCTTAAGATTATAGAAACCATGACTGTTCTCAATTTTAGACCCTCTTTTTGTGAACAGAATCAACTATCGTAACCATAAATGTTGTGTTACTGATCTTGAGTACATTCTACAGCCAAGTGGTTTGACAATCCCTTATTCTTCCCATATTATATTAACCTTTCACCTGTATTTACAACTACTAATTAAAGTTTATTTGAACTTTTATTAAATTGACCTTTAGTTTTCATACAAACTGGTGACCAAATTGTCCGAATTTATAGCTTAATTATATCATCTTTTTCAGATCAAAACCTGTCTTTTTAATTTTTTTCCCACTAACTCATAATGGTTTGTTGATAAAATAGACAGTATTTGGTCAAGAACCGAATAGTGTTTATTGCTTCATCTTAGCAAAATAATCAGCTAATCTAATAACTTAAAACTACTTTCACAATTTCTTGATATCACTTTATTTGAATGATATTAATAAGACAGGATTGTAATTGTGCGAAATAGTTCGGAAACTTGGAGATTATGAACCGTGATCTGAACTTATCGTATTTCTCGGTTTGTTATCTAAAAGGCTGTTTTTTTCAAGTATCAAGTAGGCTTTGGGCAAATTAGAAAGTTTTTCCAATAACTCTATAACACAAGTCATCATTTTATCTTTGTTTATGTAAGTTTCCTTGTCCCACGTACATATTCTTTGTGAATGTGAATTGTGTCAAGGTGTTTTTTATTGACTGATGAGTGCCCTATCGCAAGAGAATAGCGAATGATTTTTTTCAGATTATAAAAACAATGATTCACTGTTCATGCTTAATCTTTGACAGCTATATACAGTGACGCTTCGTTGTGTTTCAATGAGGATTAGATTATGATCAACCTTCGAATGAAAGTAATTCTAGCAGGAAAACCTTATAAATATAGTCCACAATAGATCATCTAAAAGCAAATGTATAAAGATAAATAAAACCCAGTATTCTGTTCATTCTAGTTTCTGTGAAAATGTCATTTTCAATATTCTGTATGTTTCTTAAGCTTTTATAAAAAATTCGGCCATGCTCTTTAAGTCATTGAAACAATATTCCGTAGTGCATTATGTAATTTTTTTAGAAAATGTCTAGATTAATTTATTATGAATGATTATCATTTGAACAGCTAGAGAAAAAGGTAGACAACGTATGGCTTCAATGTCTCTTAAGGTCACACGAAGTTTTTGGAAATATCTTACGCTTTTGTACGCCCTGATGATATAATCACTGAGTGGTTATGATTCATAATTTTTATTTTCGTCTCAACAGTGATTGAGGTTTCAAACAACAAAGAAAAGTTGTTTATGATTCAATTGCCTTAAGTCAACCAACTTTTCGAAGTTTCCATGTTAGTCGTTGTTTAAACAGTTAATTATTATTTTGTAGGTAGTTTTGATAATACTTTGATTTTTCGGTTATTTTCATTTCTTAGCTTTTAAAGTATTCATAACAGAAAATCACATGGGTTATAAAGATTTTAGACAATGTAGTTGTTATTTGTATTGGAAAATTCGAATTTGATGATGAAACGAAGTTATGATATCGTTTTTATCCATATAATATTTTCTGCTGACCAAGCAGTAACCCTTGTTTTATATCTTGTTCCCCTATTCCCATCTCATATTACATCGGTTTATTTTGACGTCAGTTTCACCAACCAAAATTTACAACTATGTCCGATTATGGATGGGGACATTCAGGAGTTAAATATCGCAATCATACGATTACTTCACTCAAACCTAACCGGTTATACGAATTTGGATTAAATTTGATATATGAAAACAGTACATTTGATCGATTCCCAAAGATTGGATCAAAAGATATATGCGCTTGTAAAACGTACCGTAAGTACTAATTAATCTTATAATAAAACGTAGTCATGTCTTTCTTATCAGCGTTTTCTGTTGAATTCTTCTGAGATAACAAGCTATTAATCATTAAAATTTTATAACAAAGACATATCATGAGGTTTTTGAATAGATTTTAAGTTTAACTTTTGCTTTTCAGTGCTTAAAATTGCAAGATGAGTGAAGTACTTCAGCAGAAAACCCGTGATAATTACACTTCTACGATGAAAACGTCCCTTGTTACCAGAAGGCGAATATGTAACCCCATTATATTATGATTATTTTATTCTATAGGGTAAAAGAAGTTGGTTTTTTTATTCGCGTATCTGTTCCATTTCACTGAGATTATAAACCGACATTAACTAGATAACCATTAAAGACCAGTGATCACTGAACAGTTGCTTAGTCTTTGTACAGAATCCCTAATGAGTGCTCATCGTCAACCTTATCATGGACAGCACTAAGGACCTTCAGGTTTCGCGGCGAGTTCTTAACTTTAGACCACTGAGGTAGTATGCACTGTTTTACATCTTTAAATTAGACTAACTCAAAGTATTGTTTAACTCTATTGGTAATGACTATTCACTAAAACACTAGCTAGCCCATGATAGTTATTAGTATGGGGGTTCGTGGAGATTGTTGAATGTTATTGAAATTACACACAAATTCAAGTCGGACAGCCATTTTAGTTTGTTGTAGAACTTGATTTAATGAAAATGATAATTTCACTTTCTTCAGCTGTAAAGAAAACTACGTAGTTATCTAAGATATTTCTAATAAACAAGATTACTGAAAAATGAAATACATCTGATAAGTCGACTGGAATTTCTCAAAACAAACAACATTGACTTTGTAACTGAAAATCCCCATACTAATAAAAGATAGTTCAATGGCTATTTGGTCTCAGTAGCCAAATGGTTAACGCGTTTGCATTTGAAGCTAAAAATACTGCGTTCTACTCTTGATCTGATCATCAACACTAAGATCCAGGTATCAACTCAGCTGGCGAGCCTAAAATAGGAACGAAACACGTGAACTGAGTTCTTCTGCTAGCTACTATTCAATTTTAATAAGGAGTCGTACTGAATGACGATACTTAAGGAATCTAATCAGGATGCATATATAGGAAAGGTGATTCACCGATCGGTTTTTAATACCAACATTGAAAAGAAACAGACACTGATAAATGAGGTTTTATATGCTTAAATTTCTGATAAAAATAGATTTACATGTTATTTGCAATGAAAAACTAAGAGGATCAGAGGTTTTACAATTTTATTACTCAGTGGATTACTGATGCTTTACTGCAAATTAGTGATATTGTTAGGAACAACAATGTAATATTCAAATTTTTAAAAATAAAGTATAAAAACGTCTCTTGGTTCGTCTCATAATATCATGCTTATCCTTATAATATTAGAAAAGTTGTAGTTAAAACTGTTTCTGTCCAATGATTCATATTACGTGGAAGAAAGTGCAAACCTCCAGTGAAATTCCTGTTGAATAAAGATTTTTTTATAGATGACATATATTACTAGTGTAATTTTTAATAAATTTTTCAGCTGATGTTCCTGATGCCCCATTGGATCTACGATATCACTATATGCAAGGTAATCAATACACTCTCGAATGGACACCGAATGATGATAATGGTGAACCGATTATTACATACAATATGAAGTCTATGTACGTAATTGTTATTTATTTTATTAACTATTCATTCTAATGTTGATGATATTTCATATCAAAATTAATTATTAGCCTCTTTCTCACTGTATGAATATCCCCCAGTAATTACAGATTATTACTGGTTTCATCAATTTCATTACATTTTACCAATACATGTAATTCTTTCATCATTACAAAAAAAGATAATAATTGCCTGCATTTTCCACATAGTCGACGGGTAAGAACAAACAAGCAAACACCAGTAATCACTAGAAAATGGATAATGTTTATAATTTGCAGAAACATCTGGGAAAATAAGATTAAGGCAACCATCTGACCGATATCTAGGAAACATGCATAAGTCTTTTTACACAGTTTACCGTCAATTTAGATTTAAAAAAAACTACCAATGATAATGTCTTTTCCTTCGTTCCCTTGTGTGTATGTGTGTGTGTACAATTGCAAGTGTGGCTGATTAGGATAAATAGTTAGGAGAGATATCGAGCACTGTTTTTCAGTTTGTTTCTTTGTTTGTACACATTAATTAGCATATATTCAGACATGTTGCTCAATAAAAGGATCGGTTGGACAAATAGCTCGTAGCTAATGTACAGTGATGTTTTTAGCATGTTTTTTTAAAATGTAAGTATTAATGCTGATAGAATTTCCTGCAGTAATCCTTTTTTATAAAATGAACCTTAAAGGCATGGACGAAACCGAACAGATTTATTGTTCCACAAAAAACTTTAAATAATAAATCATAGAAATTCCTGAATTACATAGAGCGAATTTGTTCATTATTAAATACGCTTTTAATGATCAGAACATGTATGTAACTATTAATCGATAAAATTATAATACCAGTCTGTTCAAATGTACGAGTCATCTATTTTCCAACTGTGAGATTATTGTCATAAACTTACTTGTTTTATGTCTATTTGAACTGAATAACTGTGAATGCCAATTGTTTATACTTACAAAAGATATAAATTATTGCGATCCTATACATTGAAAAACTCATAATGAAATATAAGAGTTTTCGGCTTATTTTCCTAATTATCTGTTCAAGTATATAGAAGTTAATTCCTCTTATAAATGATAGTTGAACAAAGTATTTAGATCAGCTAACCTATTAAAAAAAACTTTTCATTATTTGAAATAAGTCGGACATACTGACCGTTACAAAGGCTTCTAAAATATTCTTTCACATAATTACAATGTTGAATATAGAAATCTCTTAGAACCTTGAACAATCGTTGCTGTGATTTCCTAACTGTTACCGAATTTACAGCATTGAATTGAGATAATACTTTTGTTATTCTCTCTAAATGTTGTAGCGGCCTATTCTAAAGTCTTTAAAGATTTTAATTACCCCGTTCATATCAATCCCATTATTGATTTTTTATTATTATAGATAACGTTGAACTTAGAAATATTGTGTAACTTACTTACTGTACACTCAATTGATATTGGTTCTTGTCAGTATCTATGAAACATATTTATTAGCAATAAACCATGATGGAAAGTTAATAAAAATGAAATTTTTCATTGTCTAATTCGTATATAGTTTCAATGGAGAAGTTTTACTTTACAAACGTTGCGTAATTTATTCCCTAAATATCTAATTTCTACTAACTGTTAATTTCGAAACAAATAAATGAAGGGACAGAAGGTGGTGATCACAGCAAAGTGTTTAATTAATATTTTCTGTCAGGTATCTTGTAATTTAACCCAATAGACACAATTAAATTTTATAATCCAATCATGAATTAACAGGACAGATTGATAGAAGCTCTTTTAAAAACTAATGCAAATAGGAATACTTATGTGAACATTGCATGCTTCACCGAGATCTTATTGATTATATATACATATTGGCAAATGCTTGATATTGTTTTGTTTGAATCTTCCCATTGATGTTTTTGGACTGAAATTGATCAGTCTCTTATTGGCATATGTGCATACTGTACGTATGCCTCGATATTGCCCAATAAGAGACTGATCAATTTCAGTCCAAAAACATCAATGGGAAGATTCAAACAAACAATATCAAGTGAATTAAACTTCAACCCATTGCACAAGCAAGTGGCTATCAGGACTCAGTAGCTAAGTGGATAACGCGATGGCGTTTGAAGCGAACGGTACTGAGTTCGAGTCCCAGAGTGAACATCAACTCTGAGATGCAGGTACATCCAGCTGACGAGTCCCAAACAGGACGAAACGCGCGTCCTGGATTCCACTGCTAGCCACTATCCATCTTTGCTTATAATATTGGCAAATGGTTATTTGTGACCTTTCATCCATGGACATTTACTATGTATATATATACTCTTTTATTTACATTGATCTTTGTTTATTTAATCTATATATGAATACAGTCAACAATAAACACGATTGGTTGATCTGATCAACTTAAATATGTACGACTCAATCTTACGGTACGTTTAGGAAATACTTTTGGATGAAATATAATCTCCTAAAACATTTCATATTTGACTTCTTGATATTGTGTTGTCGAACGTCACAAATCTGAGAATAAATTTTTAAAAAATTAAATCGGGACCTGCATTTCGACGGAATCAGATATACGAATTGTTTGACGATATATTATTTTCAAATATATATTTGACAAGACGGTATGGCTGAAATTTATATATACTTAGATAATACGTAATTCGGAGTCAGCTAGCTTTGAAAACCGTTTTTTTATTTCTCACTAGAGTAGCAACGAGAATCTAAATTTTATTATGAAAAATATTAAGAAATCTACAGATATTTCATGTGGGAGACAAATGAGTATTCTAGTAATACGACTGTATGATTGGGTACACTTCCCATTCAGACTATGACTATGAATCAAATATAAATTTGTTTGGAGTTTACTAGAAATATCCACCCTAAACACTCAAATTAGTCTATTTCCTTTAGTCATTAATCTGAAAATGTTTTTATTTTACTCTGATAAAATAATAAGCGTTTATTATTAAGTGACAGATGAGCTGAACATTTTTGCATGCACACAACTGATATTGAAAATTTTTAGAATTGAAAAGTTTTCTGTCTCGGAAAGACTTCTTAAACAAATAGATAATGAGAGGCTTTATAAAAGAAATGTCAAAAGAATTTGCTTTATGATTAGCCATCGTATCTTAATATAAGGGAATGGAAAAAGATTTTTAATCCCTATTCATATGTCAACCAAGTTCGTTCAAACTAATACAATCTCATCATAATCACTAATTGATAGCTAAATAGCTTTACATCATAACAATCTTTAAGTTACTTACCATAATGTTTTATATAATTATAAATGAATTAAATACCATGAAAGCAATGCTCGACACACTGAATAATTGTTTTTATATATTTGATTATGTTTCATTATGGTTGGAACCAACCTTTCGAAACACTGTTATTATCACTTGAAAAATAAACAGTTTAGTTGTTTTTTAAACTAGGCATGACTAAATATGAAAATTATTAGATCATCATATTTGAAATTCATTATTCTAAAACAAGATAAATTTGGAAAAGAAAGGTGACTCCTATGGGGAAAAACATCTATAGAATCAATCTTCAAGAATACGTACGCTGTGTCAAGGACATCACATTTTGTACAACTGTTGAGAGAGGAGAATTTTCTTTTTCTTTTTAAGCAACATTAAGTAGATACTCATGACTCATCCTACCATATTATATATACAACTTATGATCTTGATTGAATATATATATGTCTTCAATTCATAAAATAAGAATCCATGGCCTTACGTAGTGAATTAACCAACATTATGATATCATTCTATCACTTGATATCCTTTCAATTTATTATGACAAAAGTATGTAGTTGTTCATCACAATTATAGACAATTACCTTTAATCTGTCTACTATTAATTGTGTATAAACAATTGCAATTCGTCTAGTTTTCAATAATTGAGTGCTTTATTGTTTTAACGAATAATAACGACTTTATTAACTTGAAGCAAATCAGTTATAAGTAGTATGTATTTTTGAGTATGAAAAGTATCTTTACGTACTTATAGATTTTGTTAACACTATACAACATATTTAAATTACATTTTTCTTCCCTGAAAATCTGAATCAAGGATCATCAGGTAATTATGATTGCCTTTTATTATAAATATATACAATATAAGCTGCTAACAAACGTAAAAACTATAGGCGTAAGCAAAAATACAACAGGTGTCTTCACTTATGTAAAATGAAATCGGGAACATATGGTGAGTTGAAAAACACTGTTATTAAATTGTTAATGAATAAATACAACTGATTCATTGACATAACTAATGGACTGCTGTCGTCAGAAGTGAAAAAAATCATGTGATACCCTCTTTTTAAAATTAAAATCTAAAGTCTTAGAGACATCTGTAAACCACGTTAAAGTCTTTTGATAAATATTCAAACGAAACTGATTCATAGTAAGTTGCTCATGGTTAGAAAGTCCTAGATAAGATTACAAATTGCTTCCCAGTATATTTATCGTTGCTACCACTGACTTGTAGGGAAATTTCTTTTTCAATTCATCCAATTAGTAAAAAGCTACTAACTTGAGCGTTATTATTAATACTGCATATATTATAATATTCTACTTCGTTACTCACGCCTGTTACCTCTTCTGGAGGAGCATAGGCCGCCCACCAGCACTCTTCATCCTCGAGTTATTTTCTAGTTCTGAACAATATATCCAGATTTGTAGATAGATGATATTTCCTACGCAAAGAGTATACATTTTATATTGGATTGTCAACTGGTAAATAGTCGAACTCTGATTTCCTTATTTATGTAGTATTTGGTGGTAGTCTTGTTATCACTAAAACATTATACCTTCGTCTATCTCTCAAAACTTCTCAGAAATATATAAAACACAATATATAGTTACTTAAATGTAAACCTAAGAATAGGATACACTGAATAAAGCGACTGTCAACCTTAAGGTTGATGTCAATAATTATCTTGCACCGGTTAAACAGACTTTCAAAATGGTTTTCAACTGTTAAATTTCTGTTTATTCGCTTTTATTAATTATTAAAATATCTAAACGTGACGATGATCGTCCTTCAGGCTCTTCATTCTAACGACCATGTTTACTTATACAAGAAAACTTTGTTGGACTACTTAGAATCATCGCCGAAATCCACAAGTAGTGTTGTGAAATAAATGTAATGTTCACAGACACTAAATACCATATTCACTTATTTTCTATTTCCGGAAGAGTGTGTATCAGTTATACTATTGACTGAGTGGCGGAACAACAAATACTAATAACTATTATTCTGATCCCAAGTTCCGAAGTTAATAGAGGTTTAATATTCCAGTCGTTAACTAGAAATTTGTATAATAAGAAGCCTATTATAAACTTGTGATGTTATTCAACTGAAAAGCTACTGGCAGCCAGAGAGCACCAAATAACTATTCTGCTCCTTTCGGAAACTTCTTAGGATTTCAAACCACAAAGATTAAGGCATTATAAAGGGTATGAGACAACGAATTAACTGTACAATGATCTATATATCTAATCTTAATGGTTCTTTAATTATTGGCAATTCCTGATGAGAATTACCTTCAAACTATGTAAAAATCTGCATAAAACAAACCAATATGCATACCATTACGACAGGTCGGATAGTTAAGAAGTTATTTTTTCGATTAATTATTTCCTTATGATTCTAGGTTTCACTTCGTTTCTTCTATCTTCTTCAGTACTACGTTGTTTTGATATTTTAGTTTCCTATCAACCATGAACTAAACTCATGTCTAAGGAAATATGCTTATAAATTGAATTATCTGTCACGTGGATGAATATCACTGAAAATAATACACCCGTTTTCAAAATCTTCTCTAAATTACTAAATCTTATGGTAAATATCTATTTCTAAAGAACATATAGGTGATACTTTTGTTCCCCAACCCCAGTTCTATTTACATATTTATAAATATGTGTGGTCTATCACTAGTTCTACTTAGGAACAGAAATATATGTTTAATATTCTTAAATGCAATTCAAAAGCAGAATATAATTTTTATTGTAAAACAAATTAATGCAACCCAATTTATATGTTCAGCACTACTAAATTCAGGATATATATATGACTGATATGGATTCGAACATTTTGATCATTTTGAGTTTGTCCATAGAATTTAGTTCTATTTTACTCTTCTATAAATTTGAAAGGTTTCATCAGCAGTTACTATTAATAGATAGACAGAAAATTAATTTGAATCCACTCAAATTTACATTTCTAGTTTAAATATTGTTAAAATGCACCTTTAATCATTTGCAGTATAAAAAAGATATGAAGTCATATTCACAACATTGATTACCTTTGACTAAATTCATTCCTTCAATAATCTGAGAAAATCCAGCTCTGATTCATTAGTCCAATTCTGTCTGGACAACAGAATGTATAAAAACAAAATTTTAGGTGAAAGTTTAAGTCGCTAGACCCTTTGACAGTTGTTTAACTAATTGATTCCAAATATTAATGTTTGTCTTAACCTTTTATTGATTCTAACATCACCACTTAAATTGTTTTATAAATATTGATTGTAATATCTTTTGACTATGAATACTTTCACTTGAGGTTACCTGATGAATGATATCAAGCCGTGATATAATGAGTCTATTGTCCTGTTGAACTTGATGTGATGTTTACATTAATCATATGGGAATAAATGACGTAAAAGTCTTTTGTTTGAATTTACTTAGTGTTTACAACTGCTTAGGTTATACATCACACTAGAAGAAATAAAATTAAGCCGGATAAAACCCTCTCTTTGGTTAATACCAATCTAAATTCTTTTAAGTGAATAAGTGATTTTAGATAATACTTTTCCTTTAACTTCAAATTATTCATGTCAATACTGTTTATCATATGCTTCATAAGCGAACCACGGTCATCATTAATTTAACTATGTTGTGTATGTTTTTTCTTTTAATTTAATATATTATTTTTATTTGTAGGCCGATTGTCTCAAGTAATTCAGAACAACCAAAATGGGATTCAATTACACCACATAATTTAACAGATAAACAAGCTAATATCACATTGGATACGAATCACCAAAGTGCATTTCAGTTGAGGGCTGTCAATAAGATTGGAATGAGTGATCCAGCTTACTTGATCATAAGACCACCATTTCAGAAAGTTCCAGATAAGTCTATATTTTGTTTAGCTAAATTTTTTGAATGTTAACATTTTAGCTTCAATTTTCAAAGTACATTGAATTCAATTATAGCAATTCATTTAAAATCTGAAGTCTTTTCAGACAAGAAATGATGTTCATCTAAACTTGTTCTCTGTTTAGATGACTAAACGACTATAAAAAATAATTTAGTAGCGAATCTAAACAGAAGACAATGTGTATTTTTAAACCATAAATAGATCCAATGTAAGGGTCAAATGATTTAAATTCCACTTAAGGCGGAAATGTTCTCTATATAAACATTAGGAACGGGTGATCAAAACACAAATGAAATTGTATATTACAAGATTTTCAGTAGATACCTAATAGAAATTAACCCCATATCATTTACTGGCCTTAGAGATATTGTTTCGATTACTAATATGCAACGAGAAATATTTATCAAAATCACAACTGTGAAACTATTAAATGAGCGATGGATAGGCTAGTTTCTAATGCTTTAATAGTAGAAAAGCTTGTGCTGTTTGTATATCTGACTAACAATTGTTTTCTCATACACTGATTCTGACTCAATATATTCTATGCATTCGTTAAATTGCTTATTGTCTTACGATTTCAAAATAATCTCTTTTCATGTAAGTATGATTGAGGCGATTTATAAGTCTACCATAAGAAAAATTCAGATGCCAGAAATATTCTTTTATTCACTTTTCTACTATTTCTATAGTCTTAAGTATGTTATGCGAGTCACAAAAACAACCAGACTTGATAGTTAACAGCGTACACGTTGTAGACGAGAAGACATACTATGTATGTCTATAAAAATTCGTCTGCCACGGAATAAAAGTTTTGTTTCTCTTGACAATATCATATATATATATATATATATATACATTTGATGCACTCAGAAATACATGTGTACCCATTGTATTTAAAGCACAGAATAACTTACCGATTAATTATATTAAAAAAAATTAAAGTCGGTGTGTAGTTTTTTGGAAGAAAACATTCATGATTATCAAAGACAGATAAGTAGAAGGGGTCAGAAAATCCCAGGATAAAAAAGTCTTATATAATGGAAATCATTTAACGAACAAGCTAAAAGAACAATACAACAGGTACCGCTTGTGTTACCTACTTTCTTTGAAGAATAACAAAACAGCTGTTGCTTGCTAATGCGTAAAACAGATCAAAGATCCCATGACCTCAAGCATGTTTTTGAATAAACTATTGCCGATGAAAATTTATATTTATTAAGTGTAAGGGCTTTAAAATGTCATGCCCCCTCCCAATCGAATACTTTCTCCGAAATACTTCAAGGTTTAGGTGTCTACTAATATAAATTTGACTTATATTTTGAACTACTTATTTGCAGTTTTAGTAGTATTATCCGTAAGTTTGCAAGTAAAGGGTGATATCTGCATTCTACATTTTGCGTACTTGAAAAAAATGTCATGAAAAGATTCCTAAAATCTTTCATCAACTAGTAAAGTTCTCGTTTAACTAAATATATGACCACACGGCTTACTACTGAAGTTCACAAACATAGGCAACTACCTGAAAATAGTTTTAAATACAAACTGACAGCCATAAAATATATTAGCACTAAATATATATTTTGTTATATTTTTGAATTATTGAAGAGTACTCACTAATGACATACCTCTTAAACGGAACGATGCAAACAGCGATAAAGTAAGTTACTGATTGCATCTAAATGTTAGTACAGATTACCTATAATTAAAAAGGATGAAATGTATTAAAGATCCTGTAAAATTCAATTCGAATCGACGTTCAAACAGTGTGAATGTGATCAATAGCATTTAAAGTGATCATGAGAGGTTGTCACAATTATTGTGCTTTGTTAAATTCCAATATTACTGTCTAGTATGTTAACAAAACTTTGACGAAGTTAACGTCTAACTCAAGGAATGTCAGTTTGTCTAAACCTCTAATGTTATTTCCAGTTCGCCTAAAATTTTACAAAATGAAATTCGACTCATTAATATAAACAATAATAGGAATTTCAGACAGCGAGATAGATCATCCTAATATGTGACTACTAATCTTAAGATATATTTACTGCAAATGGCGTTATAATTATTTCGTAAAATATTAGAAATATATCACACAACTGTAATGTGGACAAGTATTTTCTGAAACGGTGTTCTTCTTTACAGAAGATATAGAAAAATGTAAAATAGATATGAATTAAATCGACACTTTGCTTGATCATTATGTTCATTAGCCTTAACTCTTATAAAACAATGTAGGACGAATACTTTCTATTTCTGCTCACTTTGTTGTTAAAGGTTTAACTGTTGATGATTCCCTAATAATTTCTGATGAATTGCTTTATGTCGCATTGCTTTTATATTATTGGTGTGTACTCCCGTGGTGCGATCTACAAAGCGACGATAAGATACCCATAAGCAAGTCTAGATAAACATCGATATGCTCTCTAGTCATCCAGGTATATCGTAGTACTCGGTCGCATATACTCTCGTATAATTGGTATCATAGTTGTAGCTTGTCGGTTTCTCAGGCACTGGAAGTGTCTTTTTGACATGATCTATCATATATAAGACGGACCTCCTAATTATGTTTAACGAAGTTCTACTTACTCAGTCTTCTATAACACTTCTTCCTCTATTGAACTTGCGTTTTCTAGGGACCGTTTCGTCGATTTCTAAAACTTTTCTGATTCCTTTAAACGACTGATGGAAGCTTGTTATTTTCATTGCACATGTATCTCGATAGTAATCATACCACTGAACTGCCAAATCTTCAGGTTTCAGCCAATGTAACTGGTGCTTTTATTATCTGGCTTGCAACAATTATTATAATGTGTATTAGTGTCAATCAGGATCAAGTGGAAAAGTCCTCGTTCTAGCAGACGTTTTTCTCCAACATATATTACATAGAAATACAACGTCTCAATGATAGTCTTTACAATGCCTAACAGTCATTAGAATAACGTAATAACAAATAAAGGAACTTCTCAGTAATCCCGTCTGTTTTAGCCACTCAACTATGACGTCCTACTTGAAATCCCCTGTAAACCGGTTGTAAGTGAGCATTATATACTGAAATAAGTGCCGTGACCATGAAATCGCTCACTGGCTTCCGTTCTGTTCGTCCATAAATTACAGTCTAGTCGTTTAACAGAAGTTTTCGATTTACTAATAACAAAGTATATTTATCACTTCTAAATAAAAAGAATTAGAAAACGTTCACAACTTTATTAACAACGCTTATTGGCGATAAAATGTTTGAATTAAGGAAGAAATCGAACGAAAACTGCTGACAGCCAATGCAGGAAATTAAAGATTCCCATTGTGAAAATTAGAACAACACATATAAGCGAACAATTGTTTTCAATTAGATCGTCATCAGGCTTTACTCTAATATACATGAATATTTATACAAAAATTTTTAAACCAATCAAGGCAATTCGGGTCAATAATCACAATGAAATAGAATAAGTCACTACACATAAAATAGGTAAAAGTACAAGTTGATAGTACGAAGACAGGTGAACAGATAGTGGTAAGAATAATAAACTACAATAACAAAACTCTTATCAATAGTTAATCGTTGGAAATAGAAGGTCAAATAAACATGGGTAAATAGACTAGGAATAGTAATCACAAAACCTTAAAAATCATTACGTAATAAGATGTGTGTAAATAATTAGATAGTGAAGAATACAAAGAGGCGGATAATGACAAACAAATAATGGATGTGGAAATAAGGTTAACAATAACAAAAATAGAATAAAATAAATAATGATAATAATAAAAAAACTTTAAAAAAGATTCGTTAGTTAAGTTATAACTGGCCATGGAAGGGATAGGGGAGTCACATATTTCTTCCGTACACATAGATTGGGGTTATATGTACGAATTCCAATGGCTTCAGCTATATAGAGACGGGAACGGACTCCGTCGGGAAATGATGGAGGTATACGATAGATAACTCGAAATGATTTCGATTTCTCTACTGTATGACCGCTATCAATAAGATGTGCTAGTATAGAAATCCGAATAGTTTTTCTCTGACCCTTTATGTACCAAGTTGGTAAATGTTCACTCATTCGTTGGTTAAGTTGCCTGGTAGTACGCCCTATATAGCTATCTCCACAGGAGCAGCTGAATTTGTAAATGCACATGGAAGAGGCCAACTCAGGTAACTTATCCTTCGTTTGAGTAGACATCGCTGGACGACAAGAGAAGGTCAACGCAAGATTGGCTGCGTAGAATGTCTTGGTGATTACTTTGGTTAACCTATATTTCAGAGTGTCACTAGCCACATCCCCGTTGAATTGCACTTTCATGTATAAAGGTTTCTTACGAACAGTCGAAATCTCCGACTTCTTTATTATATCCTGCATGTATTTCTTGATGAACGCGCTGGGGTAGCCGATCTCGGTCAGTGAGTTGTTCGCTTATATGTGTTGTTCTAATTTTCACAATGCAGGAAAATCCGAGGGTTAGTATAGAACAAGTGTACTCATAATAACCAAATCTTCAGCTATAGTAGCAATAATTAAACGGCTCATAAAATTTATTTAAGACTACTATTTAGAAAACATATAGTATTCAACAGAAATGTGCTTTGCAGAAAAGTACCGAAATATGTCTAATGATTATCTTCGTGAGGAGTGTGCACTCAAAAAGAACTATCAAGCGGACTGTCGAGAACATTTAGCCCAAAAACTATAATCGAAGGTAACGGACGGATTTTATCATCCCATATAATAAATATCTCAAATATTACAATCAAATTATCGGGGATCACTGAAATACGTTCAGCTTAAAAACGAACAAGATCTGTCCAGTTTTTACTATCCAACTAAAGGATATACTGTCAAAGGAACATGAATCAAATATAATTTTCTAAACGTAACTAATTAAATGTGTAAAACATAAACGTACACAGTGTGATTGACCTTTTTTGTCATTATTTGTGTAAACATCAATTACAGTTAAACATCACTAAATATTCTCTCAATAACTGGAGCATATAAATAGTTTTAAACATAGAAATG